AGGAAAATATCTCCTATTCCATAAAAGTTGGCTATGGTTTAAAATATGAATAAAAAACAAAATATAATGATGTACAAATCTTCATTTGCACCATTTAAAGTATGATTAAAAAATAAGGTCATTTTGAATTTGATGGCAGCAACACATCTTTAAAAAGTTTTGGCTGTGTAGCATCCCGTCTTTAACAACAGTCAGTAAACATCTGGGAAGAGAAGAGACGAGATTCTGAACTTTTTGGAGGGGAATGTGTTCTCATGTTTTCTGATATATGATTCTAGCTGCTCAAGAGACCTGGCTCTTCTTTGCTGTATTTTATACTTCACGACACTCAAAATGTTTTTCAGTTGGTGATATATGAAGCTATGTTATTATGGAGTATCATGATGGAGAACATGTTTCTGTAAAACATGCGTACACCTTTCAGCATTTATGAAGCCAGTTTTAAAGTACTTTGGCCCAGAGAAGGAGTCAGTTTTCCTGGATGATGTTCAGCAATTTTCAGTCACAGTTTTTCAAATTGATTAACATCTGCCCATCATTACTTTAAATAAGTCTGCCTCTCTAAGATGATGTTTTTATACTCAGTTATGTTACTGATGTTCCACAAGCATTTTCTTTTAGCACCGCTCAGATCTTCAACATTTTGATGCCCCTGTCCCAAATTTTGAGGTATCCAATGTAGCTGGATCGGCAAACGTATGACATGAGAGTGTTAGGATGCCTGGGTCGTTGACCCAGGGTTTTGAGTTTATTATATTATTTATCATTTCTAGTCTTTGGTTTCTAAGAGTTCTGTCTTATGGTTTATGTCTCTGTGTAATCCTTAGTTGCTGTCTCCCCTGTCTGCTATATCCCCGTGTCCAGTCAGTGTCAGTGTCTGCCCTGGTCCCACGTCTCTGTTCCCTCTGTTGTAGTGCCTGCCTGTGAGTCTGTGTCTCTAAGTTCAGTCTGTGTTATGTTTCCTGTTTTATTTTGAAGGTCCACGTCTTATGTTAATGTATCTGGTTTTGCTTCCCTTGTTTCGTTAGGCCTGATTTGCCCCAGCTGTGTTTCCCTCCTGTTGCCCAATCCCTGATTGCTCCCTCTATGTATTTAAGCTTTGTGTTTCAGTTTGTCAGTGTTGTGATCTACCCCATCTAGCTGTGTGCTCAGTCTGCGTAAGAGAATTGTGCATTACTAGTTTTGTTACCTTTTTGAGTTCAGCATTAAAGCTGTGTTTTGAGTTACTTTCTGTCTCCGGAGTCTGCACTTTGGGTCCTCGCCCTGCCTGCACACAGCTGTTTCATAACAGAGAGTACTTAGAAAATTTAGTCAGAAGCCTCTCAGCAGTGTTGGAAATTCAACAACCTGTAGATGTCCCAGGGAGTTTTTGCTTAGGCCTATGAACAGTGAATTAAATACATGAATAACAATCTCCAG